GCCTGGCAAGCGCAAGGTCGTGAGTTCGGTTCCAGGTACCGAAGACCAAAAAAAAAAAAAAAAAAAAATACATGGTACACATACAATGACTGCCCTTAATTAAGGTCTTATGGTGCAAAGCTCAGTGTCAAGCACACAGAGACAATCAATGTCTATGAAAGTTAAGAACACACAGTAAGTTCCCAACTTATGAATATTCGAATTGCAACTTTCACAGATACTAAAGGACCTTGCATTACATAGATATGAACAAATCGCAGAAGTACCTTACATGACTACCAGACATCATCACAGTTGTGCTGCTGTGTGCTTACTGTACAGTGCAATAGTGTATAGTAAGAGCCCAGGATGTCCAGAAGCAAGAGGAAAAGCAGTGGTGATGTGGAGGTTTGGATTTTTAATGTTTTACATTGTGTATCTGTATCAAAGGTGTAAAAGACTCACTTTGTCAAACTTATAAACAAATTCAAGTTACCATCATTCTCCTGGAATGGAACTCTTTTATAAATTGGGACTAATGTTTTTTAAAGGAGATACAAACATGAAAGTGAAAAGCATCTTTGTAGTCCAAGATTTACATTTTTTCCAGTTATTTTGGGATTACCTCTCCTATGTGAAAAACTCTATCTTTCTGAGGCTTCAGCAATCACCCCCTTGAACCCCTAACAGCTTGCCAATTACCTTCATTTGCCACTTGTTTTAATTAAGGAAATTTTATGTATGTATCTATCCATATTCTTAGACTGTAAGTACTTAAAGCAGGAATAACTTATGCCATTTGGTATTTTTAGTAGATTAATCAGTACCCTCTATTCTCAACAGTACTTATATAATTAATATGATTTTTTAGCTACTAGTTTAACAATCTTACTAAATAATTTCTATGAAGAGTGCTACCTGAAGTTTTCTTCCTGTAATTGTTCTAATTGTAACTGTGCATGGAAATACTTTTTTGCAACCATCATATTTGGATCATCAAAAGAGCCATCCAACTGGTCAAGTTTTTCATTCATCATCTCATTCTCAGAAACCAGTGAATTCTTCTCATCTTGAAGTGTTGTCACCTAAAAAGCAAACATACAAGTACAAGGATTAATAGCAAAAGTCCCCTTAAGAGTTGGGAATTCATGAGTCTAATACAGACTAGGCCATGAAACAAACTTGTTAAATCAAAGTAGATGATTTCTAACAATCCTATGTTTGGTTCAAACAAAGGAAATCAAGTACCTATTCTTAAAATGTTATATCTGCTATAGTTTTGAGAAGAAATGTTTCTGTGTCCTAAATTTTGAAGGAACGTCAAATTGAATGAAACGTAAGAAAACTTTTTTGTGTCCAGCTTATGCTGTTCCTACTCAGCCAGTTACCATTTTAGGTTCATAGTAGAAAAATTATCAGTCACATATCATGTACTCAAAGGACAAGCACATCTGGTTAATAAATCAATAACAAAAAGCTAAATTATTTACATTTGCACAAGGAGACTGTACTTATTATTTAAAATAGATAAAAATATCCAAGTACTGAACCATATCAATGTTAGTATCTCAAGTTTTACACACTTTTAAAACAAGTTTGCTTTGCTCCTTGGTTCTATTTCTTTTGCATTCAAAAAGAACTTCCAAATTTTATGGCTGTAGCTAGACCTCTCATTAGATCAAACATTTATACATGATTTTACTAAGAATTACTTTTGTGAAAAGTGTCATGTGACATCCACCATGCTATTGTATAAATTTGCTACAATAAATGTTATCTGACAATAAAAGTACTTTCAATTGGTATAATTAATTTCATCAAGTTATAAGTGTGTGTATCCATCAAGTGTGGATAAGAGCTAAACAGGAAAGTAAAATAAAGCAACTGCCTTGAATACAATAGGCAAATTATAAATACTGTTCTTTGCTAAAGGAAGCTAAAGAGACCAGGCCTGAAGAATCCCAGAACAGACAACATGAGGCCTCATAAATGATCTAAACTTTGAGTGATCTGAAAACATAAATAAAACCTAGCCTGAGTTATTTCTTGTAAATGCCAATATTAAAGATAAACAGAACTTAAACTTACCCAGCCCAAGCAACCAACAAATTTAGAATTATACAACTAGGGATTTTTGACCAAATAAGGCAACTGTGAGGCTATAACCAATCATATTTCCTTTGCTTTACTTTTGTACCTGCCCTTTAAACTCCTACCCAATGGTACCCTCAGTGGCACTCTGGATCCTTCTCAGGTGTAGAGCTCCCTGATTCATGAATCAAATAAACTTTTTAAAATTGTATTATTATACCTCAGTTTATTTTTAACATCTCCAAATAAGAAAAGAAAGTTAGGGAACTATCCCTAGGCAGATGATGCGAAGAAACAATGTTCTGTTCCTAAACTGTCGTATAGGCAACTTGGTTACTATAATCTGTCATGTATAATTCCAAGTGGTTCAGGTAAAACAAAAGAGTGTAAGTTCCTGACCTTTAGACCCTAACAGTAGAAATGTAAATACTTACATAAGAGATGTCAAAGGAGCTTTGATAGAACCACACCATAGTGTGTGGATGGGTACAAACAAAAGACTATAGGTTGAATATACCCTATCTGAAATGACTGGGACCAGAAGTGTTTCAGATATCAGAGTTTGGAACATTTGTATGTATGTAATTAATTTGTTTCAAATATACCTATGCACACAGCCCGAAGGTAACTTAATACAACAGTTTTAGTAATTTTCTACATGAAACAAAGCTTGTGTTATTGAAATATCAGAAAGAAATCACTATTTCAGCCACTCATATGAACAATGTTATGGCTGTTTGGAATCGCCATTACTCTTGATTTTGAATGTATATGCTACAGATAAGCATTTATTTTACTCCACTCATGCACAGGCATTTATCAGTAATGTATTATATACATTTTAAAAGCAATGTGTTTCGCGTAACTAGGCAGCAGTGGCCTCCTTGTCTCACTGATTAAACAACAGCAACAGCATACAATAGCTGCTGTTAGTCTATGTTGTAATTATATGTCTTGATTAAAATTTTAACTTTTAGTTGAGAAGAAACATCAGAAGCAGTTGATGGGTCAAAAGTAGGTCCTTCAGGGATGAGGAGACATCCTACTAGACGGCTTTCTCAAATGCCATCTCTAGAATCTGTGCTGAAGTCTCACTTAGATTTTGTAAACTGATTTCTTGTTCTATTATAAATACATGCTGTTGTGGTTCTTCACTAAGCCCATAACACAGTTTCATCACATCACCTACAGATGCTTTTCATGCAGTATTAACATCTTCACTGTCACTATTAACATGATCACCTTGACTTAGAGCCACTGGTCAATAAAATGGAACCTGTTCAGCATTCTTAAAATCTCTTCTAGGGGCTGAGGGTGTAGTTTAATGGCAGAGCAAGTGCTTGGCATATACAAGGCCCCAGCACCACAAATCACATGCATCCATGTGCACACACACAAAAACATCTATATACATTTCCAGCTTACTTACAAGTCTGAAGGTATACTTTTTTAGCTATGTAAGGAGGTCAAACCTTACTTATTCCTCACTTGACATACAAAATCCTTCAGTCACAACTCTGTTCATCATTATAAATGAATACAGACATTGCCCAAGGTTTTATCAGGTATACACAACTATGTCTTTTTTCACTGTGTTCCAAGTAATGTCACAGATACACAATCCTTCATATTAAACTCCTTCTGAAATCCTTCTATCTCCATGCCTCCCTTCACTGCTGCCAGTGTATTGCTCAAGCAGATGTCTTTTTATTTACCATTCATTGATCTGAGGATACCCTGCCCTGGTCACATGACTGAATTAATAAAGTTACATTTGGGGGAAAGGATGTGGCATATGTACTATTTTTGTGAGAATTTTAGCTGGAAAATGAGCAGAAGAGTTGTCAAGAAATAATAAAATGTTGCAGTCATCCAGTCCAAACTCCCTACAGTGAGCAGAAGCCACGAGTATGAAATGTCTATGAACCAGTCAGAAAAAGATGTCCCTGCTGATCCTACTAGTCACCTACTTTGCAGACCTGAGGCTGAGTAGAGCATTAAATATGCAAATGTGTGGAAACTCACCCCTAGGCTATTACTTGGAATGTTGGGGTGGTTCTAGGTACTCTTTCCACAAGCTCCTATGATGATATATTCGTTAGTTTAACCATGACTTGTGTCTGTCCCTCTCTGATTGTAATTCCTAAACTTTTCAACCAAAATCAGAAGATCACATATTTTTCATTTTGTGTTACAAGAACATAAATCTTTCAACGCAGAATTTTATATTCTATGCTGAATGAGAATTTCTCAGAAAACTACATGGGAATCCTGAAACTAGTAGTACCAGAATGGCTCAATCCCTTTTTCTTTGTATAAGAGGTATTTTACAGTGAATTTGATCCTATTAGAAAAATAACACATTTCAGGTTCCTTGGGTATGTTTGTGTGTGTGCTACAGTGTGCGTAGCAAAGAGGCACAAAAGAACAGAGAGAATTTTCCCCACATCTGAGAGAGTTGTAGCATCCAAATACGGAGAACTGTTCTTTTTAAAGATGGAAGTAAGAAGACCTAATTTCTGCAGTCATTAACCTAAGTCATCAGTCACCGTGACCAAGTTACCTCATTATTCCTTATGTAAAAATCATGGGAATTAAAAATGTTATCCAGCTTTATCATATTTTAGATATTCATTCCATCTAGCTAGAACAATGCTACTAACTACACTGGTTCCTTCATCCTTATACATTTCAAGAAACTAGCTCATTATCTGAATAGATAATGCAACTTCTATATAGCATAAAATGAAGGTGCAATTAATCTTTTCTATACTTTTTTCTAGAGATTACCAAGATTTACAGCATAACTTTCACATTTGTACTTTCATAGAATAACTACATAAGCAAACATAAATATGTAACATTCAGTGACAGACCCTATCTGAATCCTTTGTATATAACTCATTTAATCCTTAAAATTATTCTAAATAAATATTATGATGACTCCTTTTCTCAAAAGAGTAAGTTCAAGTACAGAGAAATGAATCTGCTTGACTGAATATGAACAACTAGTAATATGGTCAGGTTATGAATACAGGGAGCCTATTTTACAGTCTATGCTCTTAAACATCAACTGTTCTTGCTCATGCCACGTTTGTTTATGAATATAAATTTATATATAAATATATCCATTGACATATACACATCAGCCAAACAAACAGCATGGAAGATCTCACACACACACACACACACACACACAAAAGGAGTACATAAGTTAGCTCATTTACTATTCATAAGCAACTATAAAGTACATATTTTAATTTTGCAATTTTATAAAAAGACAAAACTGAGTCTTCATCAGAATAGCAGAAATCCTCCAATTAGTATGATTTTCCCAAAGAAACAGGCCACCAATTTTCAACTCTCAGGGAAAATTACTTCTCAAATTCATGTTTTAATACTGAAGCTTGTAACAAATGCTTTGAATGTCTTCTCCGTGAAATGAAACCGATCTTCCGTAGCCTGGGCTGTTAGAGTGATGTCAGAGGAAAGAGGTCACTCCTCACCAGGGTTTCCTCTTCCATACCTGCATATCCAGTTCTTGGCATCTCTGCTTCAGCTCTTCTTTCTCTGCTTGTGCTTCCTGAAGTTCTTCCAACGCCCTTTTAAGCTGAAATACAAAATGTCACTCTTACTAAATCATGTTTTAACAAAAACAGAAAAGTACACTCTTCTTAAAACATACACATACACTAATACTAGAAATGGGTTTTAAAATTTACCTATTAACAAATTAATGTTAATTTTATTATGTGTGCGGATACTGCCATATTCCCATTAACATTTAAGACTAAGCTTCCACAGAAATAAAATATATTTGAATCCTTATAAAATAATTTCAAATGATTAGAGGAAGTATATTTTAATTTCATCACAGAAAAAAAATTAGAAAAACATCTGCATTTAAACTAAATTTTAATTAAAAAAATTTGAAATACTTCTTGAGATGACTAGTCACACTCATGAAAAAAAGATGTCTAAAAATAAAATAACCAGATGTGTAAAGTTGCAATTTTCTCATCTTTTACCCTTGCCCTTACAATGTAAGACTGGGTTGTACAAGAGGACAGTGAATTTCTCCCCATGTAATATAGTCTTGTAATAGAATCCTTAAGTTGTTGCAGAATTCTTATGTTGTAACAGTCTCTTCAACCTTAAGTTGAGCTGTCTCTTCAATTTCACGTAAGAGAACAACGATAAAATATCATATTATTAAAACTATAATTAAAACCTAGAATATTTTTCAGAAATTTTTTTATCATTTAACTATTTGTGTAACCATCTGATATGGACCAACTGTCAAAAGGAAGGTTTAGTGTTATTCAACTCTTGGCACATAATCACAAAAACACCATTTGTACATATCCTTCTATTTAAGCCTGATGGAGTAGTTGGTACAGAAACTGTATTACTGTTTTCAACACTGTTCTCACATACTGAAATACTCACCTGTTGCTCTAATTCCCCAACAGCATCATTTGTAGGAGAGCTCACTATTTCCTTACTCATCAACTGGGAAATTAAAAAAGCAAAATTAAGTACAATAAGTGATGCTTATAAAGCAAAAACATATTTACTTAAAAGAATGGTAAAATTGTAGCTTTTCCTTGCTTTAATATGATGATCCTTAGGACACTACTCAAAACAAGTTTTATTAGTGATTTAACTAAATAACAATGTTTGACCTTATTAACGAGGACACTAAGATTATGGAACAAGAGCCAAAGCAAACCTCTCCTCCTCTAAAAAAAAAAAAAAGTATTCAAGCATATTAGGGAGGACAGTCTATTTTCTCTTATCTCCTCTGCACTCTACTTCACCTGAGAGTCTTAGCCTGATATTAAGAATCAGCACTGCATATTATGAATTCTGAATCTTTCTGTATCTTCTGAGATAATCAGAATAGCTTAAATCCAGGCTACTAGGCTACTAAACAGAAGTACCAGCATATTTCCTCAGATATCCAACGTTCTGAAAATGCAGATGGTATATATAAACTATAATCTCAGGAAAGATTTCTCTCATTGGCAGAAAAGAAAAAGAAGGAATTAAAATTCGTATCTGCCTGCAAACTGTTTAACCTGTAGTTAAAGGAACTTGAAAATAGTAATTTATCAAACAGCTTTAGAACTAGAGTTACCAAAATTGGGCTTAACGGTTCTTCAAGATATTTTTTTTGAGGGGAAAAAAGGAAAACTCACTAGCTAAAAACAAGTAAACCCACTACAAAGGGCAAGTTTATAAAAAGAAAAGTTTGTTCACATGAAGACAAAATTTGTATGAAAAGTTCTATGTAATTTGGCTAAAGATTTTTATGCTTACATGAACATGATATAACTCACCTCTTGAATAGCAGTCATGACCACATGTTGGACAGACTCTTCCAATGTCATTATATTTTTAATATGCTCTATGATTTAAAAAAACAAAAATTTCAAAAAAATCTTTTTTTTTACAAAGTCCCTTAACATTCAATAAACAGAATATAAAAATATATAGGCACAAACAGTCCTTTCTGCAAACATATTTTTCATTGTATGTCCATTTAAAGTAAGTTTAATACATTCATATTATTATTTAATGCTTTAAGATGAGAAAAAAGATATTATAATATTAAAATAATTATGACAATAATTATTTAATTCTAGGCCCAGAAAGTTTCATTTACTCCCTACTTAGTTCTTCCCAAGAAAGCTTTCACAGGGACTTATCTGGTCTCTGTAAACTCCTGCTCAGCATGCACTTTCTCACAAGAAGTTTATTCTACCTGACCACAAACAGACCTGCAGTAAGTCAAGGTGATTATCCTGAGAGTAAGTGAGAAACTCTAAAGAAGATTCCTGTATGCATTTACAGATTTAAATCCACTTCAACTGCATGTTCCTCAGCTAAAACAACTGTCCCAAAATTCTAAGGACTTACTAGTTTTCTAATACCTTTATTGTTTCAGTGATGCTTATCTTCATTTGTTAAGTCAGAAATTGTATAAATAGTCTGGTAGGGTATAATATGCATCTAACTAGTAAGTACTAAAGGGGAAAAAAGAACAAACTAAGAGGATGCATAGGTGATGGAATTTATTTCATTTAAGTGGATTTCGTAAATAATGAAGAGTTTCAAGTTTGCAAAAATCTTTCTAAAAATAACCTTCTTCATCACAAAGAATACTGTGACTAAACCAGTCCATTCTTGTAACACTGAGACCATTGCAGTACCCTGAAATCATTCTGAAAATTGATTCCGGAAAGTACCAAGGCATGGAAGCTATTTTTATTCTGGATTTGTTTTGTTTGTAAATTTTAATTAAATTACTAACAGTTTATTTACTTATCTGCTCACATGTAAAAACTGAGAACATGTACTTCTAAAAATAAGTCCAATTCGATAGTTCAATATTCTTGATATTTTAAGCAATGAAAATAAACTATTTTCTTATACTTACTACTTGTTAAACTTTTTTCTTATGTAGCCTGGAATTGAATTTGCTTCCATATATAAGAACAAAATTGCTTAGTAACACTCAGATCTAAGTAAAAAATATTATATTTTCTACCGAAATTAGCAGGATACAACAGAATCATCATTTTCAGGGAAAATTATAGCTTAAAATGTCAATTATAGCTTAGAGTAGAAATAGTTCATTAAGTCATAAGAAAACAAAAAAAGATGAAACATATTAAATAAAAACAAAATAGAACCAAAGACAAACAGTTCTTTGGAATAAATAAAACTGAAAAACTTGGTAACATTCATTAAGCAAAAGCAAGTTACATATAACCAGTAATTAAAGTAAAACAAAACATTACTCAAAAAAAGTAAAAAGAATAATTATAAAAGAAAGCTATTAGATTTATACATGAATTACTTGTCAAACTGTGATTAAACATTTAGGGAGCTTTTAAGATTCAATAAAAAATTAGCCTTTATGTTCATGAAAAAGTCCAATATACAGATCTTTGACATTCTCTGTAAGTAAAAAACAAAAGCAAATAAAGAAATACTTCCCCTAGAAAAAATATAAATTAGCCACTTAATGACAGAGATGCAACAATATAAGTTTTCTGGTATCTAATCCCTGTTTTTTTATGTTGTTACACAGTTGATTTTTATTTTTCTTCTTCTTGAGTTTGTTCTTACTGAATTTATCCTGTCTTGTAGAATGTGGTCAGTAAAGGTCTATCTTACACACTCAAGCAACTAAATGTTTTTTTCAACCACTCTACCACTGCACCACATTCTCAGGTTACAAAGTTTTATAAAGGTAGTATGCTATAACCAAGTTTTGGTGAACCACACAGAAAACAAGAAAACAGCGTTAACACTCTTACCACCCCATCTTATGAGCTCCCACAAAAGGGAGATCTAGGTCTGTTCTGGTCATAATTTTATTCCTTACATGCAACGAGAAATGATCTTTTTGTACTCAGCAGAATCTGGATCACTCTGTTTGTGAATGTAATGGACTGATTCCTTTTATATCATCACACTTATCAGGAGATCCAGGAAGCAGGGATTTAAAAAAGAATAAAATATCTGAAGAAGCCTAGATTGTAATTAGCTGAATATTTATTTGTGGAAGACTGAATCAACTGCTCTATCTTACAAAATAGATAATCTATCAGATAAAAAAGTACAATTTATTGAATATCCACCAAGTTCTAGACACTTGTTATATTAAACTAGAATAAAATTTATATAATTTACTTTTTTTTTTTTTTTGGTTTTTCTCTGGTACCGGGAACCAAACTCACGACCTTGCGCTTGCCAGGCAGGCGCTTTGCCGCTGAGCTAAATCCCCAGCCCTATATAATTTACTTAATGAGTATCAAAATTCAGGCACAAATAGGAAGCTATAGATATAGACCTTTGGGCTGGGGACATAGCTCAGAGGCACAAGTGTGTGCCTGGCAAACGCAAGGTCCTGAGTTTGATTCCCAGTACCAAGAAAAAAAACATACAGAGCTTTTTAATGGCAGAGAAGGAACTGAATTTAGATCATCTGGTTTGTATTTCAGGTTGCTTTCTGCCATGCTGTAATAGTAAATTTTGATACTACTTTGTAAATGCAATATATATATGATAGCAATGTAGGTTTTTCTCTAGAAAGTAAAAACTTCTGTTGGTTGAAATTCACCTACCTTGCTTTTTCTCACAGTTGACCGCACAACCTAAAATAAGCTGAAGCAATCTCCCAAGTTCCACGGAATCTGAACATTCAGTTATTTGGTTTAAATCAGGAATAAGTTCTTCAGAAATCTGCTGCCCCAAAAACTGCAGTTTCAGAACAGTAAGTTAGATCACTCATTTATATACACTACAAAAAACTTTCTATATGTAATTTTAAAAGAAAAATTAATTAGGTACATGGAACAACTCAAGCTAAATCAACAAATGACAAATTAATGGTTATTAATTAAAACCAGCTAGCAACAGTCAGGCAATCTCTCAATATTTTAAGTAACCAACTACAAGCAACTATATTTACTTTTTATTTGATTCCACTGTTAGATTCATTTAATTTAAAAAGCATACGATGCAGTCTATTACACAATGTATGTTAAACCAAATGCTTTTTTAATATATAATCAATTAACAAAAAAAACTGCAAGATAAACGACTGCACTTTACAAATGAACAACACATCTAATGGATTAATTTTTCCTCACCATTTTTTTCTTTTTAATCTTTTTAAAAGGATTTTGGCATTGAGTAAAGCTTCAAAATGAGTTTTAGAAATTAAATTAATTCAAAAATTCTAGTGTATTAAAAGTTTTTTAAACTATATATTCACAAATTTAAAAATAGACCAAAAAAAGTAATAATAGAATCAACTAAAAAACTGCCAATCATTAAGTAATAATTAAAGAAATTTTATTTGAGAAAATAATCAACTTAATGAGTATCAATATAAAAGGAACTTTTATTCCAAATTTAGTATCTAACCTTCAAATCTGATTTACACAAAACTTGTATGTTCTAGTATATGTGCTGCCGAAGGGAGCACAAAACTTGTATGTTCTAAAAATGGCAATAATAAAATGCTTCAATTACGAATTATATTCCCATGTCATAAATAAAAAGCCAAGTCATTTTTTCAATGTCAATATAATTATTCTGTATTTGAAGTCAGATACTTTTCATACCTCATGGTAATAACTCACAATTCCTTGAAGGATCTTCTTTAAATTACTAGCCTAATGTGATAAAAGAGTAAGATATGAATTTTTGCTTCATATTAACAATGAAAGAATATTTATACAAAGATGAGTGATAGTACTTTCCCCTGATATAAGCAACAAAAACAGGACAGAATTCTTCACCAAGAAAATGTTAAAAATAGTACCATGAGCCTAACAACAGAAATTCAAATTACATGAAATAAATTTAATGGAACTGAAAGGAGAAATGGACAAAAAACCAGTCACTATTAGAATTAAGAACTGCTCCCCTCTGTAACTGACACAATAATTAGACTGAAAAACTAATAAAATATAAAAGATATACATGGCATATCAACACATTTGATATAACCCATATTTACAGAACAACCGTATAATATGTACTTTTCAAGTATACATGGTACATTCATGAAAACACATACCATAGTTAGGTCGTAAAGTAAATCACAATAAATGTAAAAGAATTTCTCATACAGGTATGCTCTTAAGCAAAAATATAATTATGTTGAAAAATCAATAAATGAAAGGCATTTAGAATCTGAACTATCTACTTATGAATTACTCCTAAGAGAAAAACAGAAATCACATGGGAGATCATCAAATATGTTAGACTAGATGAAAATAAAAGCACGGTATGTGAAAATGTATAAGATGTGGCCAAGGCAGAGTTTAACATAAGGGTTAGAACGGGCCTAAAATTGATGTATTTAAGCTTCTACCTTAAAATGCAGAAAAAAAGAGCATATGTGAACAGAAGAAAGAAAACATGAACAAAGAGGAAATGAATGAAACAGTAGATAGCTATTAAAAGAAAATAGAAAAATAGAAAAACAATAAATATTAAAGAAATATAAACACACTAATTATTAGTAGTAGGACAGATGAAATATCAGTTAAAGAACATATAGTCACTAGTATATTATCAGAATAATCCTGTTATGAATCACTGAATGCCAACAAATTAGACAACTTACATGAAAGCAATATATACAAGACACAACAAAACAGAAAAGGGTTTTAAAGACAGAGAAACAGTTTTGCAGTTTTTTTTATTTTAAAAATTAAAAAAAAAACAATGAAGACAAAATCAAAACAAAACAAAAAACAACGAAAATGATACATGACCTCAAAACAAAATGATAGGAATTAACAACGGTTGCTGCATTACATACTGTTATCTTCAACGAAGCTGCTCAGTCCACCAGACATAAGAATGTAAGACTGATCAAACAATCAAAGACAGTAGTAACAAGTAATTAAAAAAAAAAAATTGGAAATGATGCAGAGCTTCACCATACAAGATGGTAGGAGTTCAACAATGGTTCTTATACTGCCTATTGTTGTTTTCAGATCAGTCATTTTGATTACCAGATTTAAGAGTGCAAAATTGGTCAAGAAAAAAAGAAAATTTTAAGCATTGACCATTCCTTTCAATAAACAACAACCATCAACACTACACCTATTCCAACTATCCCTGTATATTCATATTAATTTTGTTTTTCACTTTAAAAAGAAAAAAAAACCAAAATAACAAAAACAAATTAAACATATATTTACACAACTCAGTAAGTCGTCTCTGAAACTTTCCCAAGAGAAATTACATGTTTAAGAAAAACTGATACACACGTATTCATTGCTGCTGAATTCATTAACAAACCCAGAAACAATTCAAACAACTATCAACCAAATAGCTAAGCAGATCATGGTATATCAATATAATGAAATACACAGCAAAAAATCCACAAAGTTTCCACTAATAAACCAACATTATCCCAAACATTATTCTAAATGAAAAATGCTACACATAAATAATACATTCTGCACAGGTCCACTCATATGGAGCTCTAAACATGGAATCTATAGGGACACAAAGCAGATCTATGGTAACTAGACGTCAGAACAGGGCTGAAGGATAACTGTGAAGAGATCTAAGTACACGTTATTGGTTAATGAAAATTTGTTTCTTTATCTAATTATGATGGTAGTTACATGCAAACATACATGTGTCAAAACTTCAACTGTACACAATAAAATGTATTCACAAATTCATTTTTGAAAAAGATGTAGTTGAGTTTAGGGTTAATTCTAGGACTACTGTTTGGATCAATTGCTACTCCCAGTCATACCTTTATTCTCCAGTTATCCCCGACATCCTCTTTAATTCGACTTAACCAAGATTCATTGAACCAAGCAACATCACTAAAACAGAAGTATAAATGTTAAACATTAAAATATTTTTATTACTTAAAATATCAAATTGAATTAACGGGGAAAGTTAAAAGCTTACAGCCTATCCTTATAAAATTAGTAAAAATCTGAATGAGCCCAAAGAATGTTTTGTGATTCTTACGGATTTCATTTAGGCTTGCATATTAAATTATTTATGTCATTAACACCTCCAATTTAATAAACATTTATTAAATATTTAATGTTGGACATCCTGCTAGCAGAGAGATCTAAAGGTAACAACCCTGAAAGGCTAAGTAGAAAATGAACATTTTAATGAGTATACAAGTATCATATTTTATTTAAACATCATAGTAACTTGATGAAGGATATATTACTATTTTCAATCTTTCTATCTGGGAAACTGGGTACAAGAAAGGCTAGGTCATTTACCCCAACTGATGCTGGTACATGGCAAAGTGTAAAATAAATCAATATGACTGAGTATATAAGTTTCAGAAAGCTATAAAGGTAAGTTAGATATTAACCAGAAGTCCTATATTGACACTGAAGATCAGGACAAGTAACTACTATACAAAGTTTTTATGTATTTAATAGGGTTTTAAAGGACAACTGACTGGGGCTACGGATATAGTTCAGCAGCACAAGTGCCCATTAGTACTAGCCTGACTGAAATTTGTATTCCAGGCTGCAGTCCAAGAGGCTGTAAGTCCCGATCCCAGACTTTGCCTCTCTTGTTTTTCTTGTCTTTCTTTTCCTTATCATCCTCGGACACCTCGTTCATGAGACCTAACACACTAGATAGAAGGACACTTTTCCAATCAGTTAAAAATTGAAAAGGAAAGACTGATGCAAATCTTGTCACAGAATCTTCCTTCTGGTTCTCCAACTGCTGACCAACCTGCAGATTCTGCACTTGTAAACCTGTGCAATTACATCAGCCAACTCCTTCCAATAAGTATCTATGCATGCATGTGTAGGGGGCAATGAACCTTAGCATACTATTTTAGATAAAATAGTTTGGTAAAAAGCCTGCATGGTGCCTCGGGAAGCCTCCCGGGACAGTGCAAGAGCTAATTCCCCAGATCAACACTGTCCAGGAATGTCTCCCCAAGATAAGGGGGCGCCTAGGCCTAGGTGACCCTCCGTGACCCTGCCTGGGTAGTGCCATCTCCTGGCCCTAGGTAAACATTGTAACCCTAAAGGAATGCACAGGTTGTAAAAAAGGAGATAATGGGGGGGAAACATCTATCACGGTTTGACATGCGACCTGCAACTGACCTGGGGTCCAACAGGATGAGAGAAATACCATATGCCCACTGGGGTCAGAGAAAGTAACACCCCAATCTGTTGTCAATGGAAACCGAAATGTATATAAGGGGAAACAAAGTTAGCCATGGCCCACTTCCAGATTGGCAAAGGAAGTGAGGGTTGCTAGCCTCAAATTAAACTCTGATTTTGTTCTCACTGGCAATTGGCGTCTCCTGTGTAATGTTTGGGACAAACAGGAATTTCTGCCATAACACATGCACCCACACATACACCAACATTTACCTTACTGGCTCTGCTTCTATGTAGAACTCTGACTAGTATTATGCTAGTCTTATAACTGGCCTTGAAAAAAATCTAAGTCCAGTATACGATTCTATAATGAAGGACCTTTAGAAAATGAATTTAGAGATTAATCTTATTCTTCATATGTTGTTTTTCCAAGATAATTCCTTCACTTGTCTTACACTGCTCCTTATCTTCCTTTCTTTCCCAAATCGTATTTAGCCCTGAGACATGAATACTTCATAACTTCTCCACAAGACCATATCTCCTGTTTTCTTTGTTTTAAATTCACCCTTTCTCAAATAATTTTGGCAGCCAATCTTTTTCACTTAATATTCAACTTCAGGTTTTTCCATTGCTATATATATAAGCTTTAGCATGTTCCCCAACAATAACTTCTTTTCTTATATGTCTCAGAAACTCAATCACATTCAAGGAACACCAAATAAGAAAAGGGACAAAGGGCTGATTAAGCAAAGTATGGTCCAATTATTTTCGAATGAAACTAAGAAAAAAATCACTACATGACAGTTTAACTCCTTCTATGGCATCTGCATTTGTCTTTAACAATTTCACCAATAAAATTCAGGAAGTAATTAGCACCTAGTAGTTACTATAAAATAACTGTTGTGTCTCTTCAAAGGACACCCTGAGACTACCATTCTTCAGTAATCAAAACCTTTCTGTGTTCAACATGTCAAACTGTGATCTGCATTTTGGACATGCATGTATGAATTTTATTTATTTTTATTTTATTAATATCCCAAATTAAAGATCCATCAGAAAGACCTTAAGATACTAGGTTTTTATTACAACTGATTACAAGCAATAGCTTTGGAGTCAGATCAAACTGATACAAACCTTAATTTTGCAATTTACTCATTAGTTGACTTTCCAAAAGCAATGTTATCTCTCTATTCCTCTGTCCTCATGTATAAACTGAGGGTGAAAACAGTATCTACCTGATAGAAGAGTAAACAGTAGATGAAACAACTTAATGTGATCTATAACATCTTTAGGAAATACTCAAGATATTGCTTGTCATGGTTATCATTTTAGATACTATACTCAGATATCTCCTGTATAAATGAACAAGTAAATATGTGAGTATTCTATATTCTCTATCTCACTTTTCTCCCTCTTATAAAACAATACATCCAAAGACAACAGAAACAAGCAGAGAGGTTATATGGTGCTTAGTGACAAAGCCAAGTCTTTCTTTTGGGGAGATGGCATGCATTTTTATAGTTGTAGGCACAGCCATTATCAAAAACAGAAAGATCCTATTTTTACGTTGTTCTAACCCTTGGTACAGTACCTGTGAATATAACCTTACTTGGAAATAGGGACTTCTCAGATGTAATCAGGTAAGATGGGCTTACACTGCATCACAGTGGGTGGTAATCCAATATGACTGATGCCCTTAGAAGAGACACAGATACAGACAGAGAGGGCAAATCACATGAAGACAGAAGAAGAGGTTGCAGTTATGCTGCCACCAACCAAGAAAGTCTAGACACTACCAGAGGCTGGATGAGGCAAGGAAGGACTTCCTCCTAGAAGCTTTGGTGGGAGGATGACCTAACCAACACCTTGACTTAGTCCTTTAGCCTCAAGAACTGTGAAAATTAACTTTTATTGTTTTATGCCACCTAATCTGTGGTATTCTGCTACAGCTGTCGTAGGGATCTAGTATACTTGTAGTTACAGTTTTTCTTTATGTATTTTTTAAATAACAGAAGGTTCTAAATGCATCTTAAAAAGAGAGGTACTTAACACATATTTAAATTAAAGACAATAATTAAGGACCTTCAGAACCCTAGCAATAACTCCATGACTCTCCAAATCTAAATCTTATTGCTTGGACACCACTTTTCAAAGTTCTCATTTAGAAACATATTTGCCTGAGATAAATAAGAATGACTGCCTAAAATTTTGCTGCTTAACACATAAAACAGGCAAATGAAGGAATGAGAGAGAGCAAAAAAAAAGAGTTAAGTCCACTTTTAATGAAAAAAAAAAAAGCTTTCTTAATTGGATGACTTAATTGGCTGACTTCATTTTTCCTGCAGAAAAGCTATTACAAGACACTAAGAAAATAAAGAACAAAAGAAGAAAAATTAGAGATTAGTAGTAACAATAGAATCAACACTGGAAAGAAATGAGTTGCTGATAAAGACATAGTTTAGAACACATTTATTTAATGGTGCTCTAAAAATTAGAGTAGAATGGTAAATCAAAGATAGATACAGATATATTGATCGATTGATAACATCATGATATATCATGTCTCTTCCATCATCATATAAAGCTCCTAAAGCCTACTAAATACATATGGAAATGTCATCCTTGGATAGTGAACATATCAGTTCCTACATTGACAATGAACATAAAATTTAACATATATCAGGCCTGCTTCCACACTAACCACATTTCAATGAAAAGGAAGCAAGATACACATTCTAATGACAGAAACAATGATGATTTCACCAAATCATTAAGAAAGGGCTCACAGCCAGGCGTGGTAGTGCATGCCTGTAATCCCTGCACTCCAGAGGCTGAGGTAGGAGGATCGTTGCGAGTTCAAGACCAGCCTGGGCTACAAAGTGAGCTCAAGGCCAGCCTGAACTGCACAGTAAGGCCCTGTCTCAAAAAAGCAAAAACAAAAAAAAAAGACCGAAAAAAAAAAAAAAAAAAAAAAAAAAAAGAAAGAAAGGGCTCAGAACACTTGGCTCTGGCAAACCAAACTTTAAAATTAATCAGGATATAACTAAAACATTTAAGGTCTCATCCCTTGAGAGCCTGCACTCCTTTTTGAGCACATACTTCTTTAATTCTGCTTAATAAACCTATCTATGTCTCTCAAAAAATTAAGAAAGCAGAAAATAAGGGTATATTTTAGAATGACTAAATGACTACTTCTCCCTTTGCCATAAATTAACATATTATTTGTCTTTTACAGTGTTAATTTTGGGTTAACGTGGGTTAACTTTGGGTTAACTTTGGGTTAACTTGGGTTAATTCGGGTTAACTTTGGGTCAAAAATGTATTCAAATCAGATCATTCTGAAGATACCAAATAACTACAATTTTATAACACAGTCATCCCACACTATATCACAGTTCACTTATTGCAGCTTTAAAAATATATATCTAATTCTGTATTGCAGAGTTTTTGCTATACCGTGGTATTCTGCGATATACAGGTATTTATATAAAATTTTACATGTTATTAAAATTACCTAGGTTTGGGGCTGGGGATTTAGCTCAGCGGCAAAGCGCCTGCCTGGCAAGCGCAAGGTCATGAGTTCGGTTCCTGGTACCGGAGAAAAACCAAAAAAAGACCAAAAAAAAAAAAACAAAACGAATAAAATTACCTAGGTTTAAGAGTGCAGAAAGCGTTCAAGAGCATAGGAAGTGTTTAAGGAGTGTGGGAAACGTTAGTAAGAGAGTGGGAAAGGTTTACAGGAGTGTGGAAAGGGTTTATAAAGCCTTAAAATATATATAAATAATAAAACATAATGCCACTACTTCATGGATTTTCATCTATCGTGGAGGGGTGGCGGTTCTCTGGAATGTAACTTCCATGATAAGTGAGGGATCACTGTAATTTTAAGCTGTCTTTCTATAAGATAGTATTCAACGTTCATTAAAGCAAAACCTTACAAGACATGGTAACAAATAATTGATTTCTGACCATACAATAATGAAGTAGAAGGGGCTGGGGATGTAGCTCAGTAGCACAGCACCTGCCTGGCAAGCACAAGGTCGTGAGTTTGATTCCTGGTACCAGAAAAAAACAAAACCAGAAATAATGAAGCAGAGACAGAATCTTGGCTTTAAAATAAGCTAATATAAAATCATCATGACTATTAACTAATAAATTAGGAGAACAGAGTTGGCTTTGTTTGTCCTATTGAGGGTGTAGCTCACAGTGTGTACTATAACCCTAAAGATGTTTGAAATGTTTAACGCATGTTAAACATGTTTGAAAAACATGTTATGTTTGAAAAGTATTAGAAAACAATAGATTTAGGAACTTTTCATACAAAATAGGTCCAAGCTTACAAAATGAATTGCTTAAAAAATGAATTTATTTTACAGTGCCCAGCACCTGACACTTCACATTTCACTCATTCATCACTTCACAGTTGGTAACTCATAAATTACCAATGTTAATTCAAAATAGACTTTAAAATTTAACATTTTCCCAAATCTAGTACGTCTCAATAATCTTTGAGAAAACAACCCCTGTGTACTGGTAACTTTAAATGTAATGTAACTGTAGGAAAAATTCATTCCTATAACTTTAGAAAGCAATGAGTATTTCATTCATTAACCTTTTCCTTTTGTCATTATTATCTTGTAAACATGCTCAGAACAATGTTAAAATAAAATTTCTTGAATAAATAAGAACCTTTTCCCCAATTTAGTCAAGATACCTCTCTATGAATAAACAAGGAATAATATGGTGGTGAATGCTTTCAATCCCTAGTTGTAAGAAAGTCTTGGTATTGTTATGTCTGAATACATCATCAAATAGGATAAAATTTGAATGTCCTGGATATGAGTCTAAATGTTCTTGGCTTTACAATTCTTTTCAGTCAGAATTTGACTCGTACTCACATTTGATGAAGAACTTGTGCCATGGCAACTCCATTAGTCAGCTGTTTGACATCTTGACAAGGTGAGGCAGTCTTGAATGTCTGCAGCTACAATGACATAAAGCAAATGACCTTATTGGCTTTATTATCCCTATGGGGTAGCATTATAGAATAAATAAAAACAGCTAAAAGTGTCTTGTTTTGTTTAAATACAGACCTATCAAACAAATGAAACTATGCTAACATGTTTCTATGACTGTATAATATGTATATAAAAATAAGCACTTAACAGGGCATAAAACCATGCCTAACACAGTAAAATACATTAATGTTGTGTATGAAGTAATTTGGAATTTCTGAATAATACAAAGCCAGATACTTAACTCTAGTCTTTTGTCTCTTTTTAGGAGAACACTGGAAAAAGGACTTTCAGATAATGTTTGTAAGTTCACATTTCACTCACTTGAAAAAAACAGAGGTTAGAAATGTCAAATCTAAACACTACTTACAGTTTATTCATAGGCTGAGGTAAAATAGGACTTCTCAATACTACCCAAAAATTGGCCTTAAGCATGAAGAGGCAAGGCCACCCATCATGTGAAGTTGTTTGTATCTTGTTTAGCTTTATAATGACTAACTTTTTAAATCTTTTTTTGCTAAACATTAACACATACATGAAAAAAAGAAGTGGAATGGTAGCCAATTTTTTTCAAAAAAGCAACTATAAGACAGAAAAATTTTTAGAAAGCAAATTACACCACAACTAAAATGGATCATATTCTTTCCAGAAATCTAATCTCAAACCATAAGGATCTTAAATTAAATACACAACAATTCTCTTTTCCCACATACCTTCATATTCGTCAGTGCTGACTTAGAATTCCTGCACATAAGTATCATGACCCAACAGAATTCTCTCCCATCAAAATTTACCACTGGTAGTTCTATGTGTTTTTAGAGTCTACAAATCTGTCTCTGGACAGAATGACACAGGCAGACTAAAGTTAGCCATAGTCACTTTCAAAGTACACAAAGACACTTTACTAAGCTCCTACTTTGCATGGCAGTGGTAGAGGATGGAGTTGCAAAGGACAATCACTAGGTTTGTACCCTTCAAGTATTCCCAGTCAAGGGTGAAGCAACAGAGAAAAAGACAAGTCATTTTAGAAAATACGGTGACTTTCACAAGTGGAATACGCACAAAATGTAAGACTTAACTAACCTAATTAGGGTTTGTATTTAGGAAAGACATTGTGGAGGTGATTCTTGTATAGAAGGCTTTGAGGGATTAGTAGCATATTCTGCAAGTATAGCAGGAAAAGGAACTGTCAGGGAATTAGAATACGCTACAAGTAGAAATACATGAGAAGGGATGGCATATGGGGACATGCCTTTCTGGATCATTGGCTTTGCAGTACAAAGGATGGGGAAGGGATGACAATCAAAGGATTAAAGAGACAGATCAGAATACTTGAGAACCATGACAAGAAGCTTGGATTTATAGCCTTAGTGGCACTGCTACGGAATGGGAAACAGAACAATTTCTACTTCACAAGATAGGGGATGGCAAACCAAAGCAAATAGCAAACACGTTCAGACTAGTGTCTGGCACATGGTATTATTATAGATAACTAAGTTAGGGAAAAATAATAGGCAGTCAGACAGGGCTGGGTCCTTGAGAGGTCAATTTAGAAGAAAACTGTGGCTGGAGGCATATTCACTAATGGTCAGACTTCCCAGAAAAAGAACTACTCACCCATGTACTTCCCCTAGAGATGAACAGCAGTGATTGCTTTTCCAAGTAGGCATCAATCACCTTGGGGTGGAGGACCAAACCTCCTTAACCCATCCTTCCAGGAAAGTCTTCGTCAGTCCCAGGTGTACTTGCTACTTGGACCTGTTTCCCCTTTTGATCCCCATTTAATCAATACTACCCAAGTGACTATATTTGTTGTATACTCATTGGTTGACCATGGTTTTGTCCCAACTCGTATTCATCCTATGATTTGCCACTGGATCAATATTACCTAAGCCACTGTACTTGTAATCTTGATTGATTATAGTTCTGTCCCACTTTAAGCCTGTCTCACTTTGTGGTTTTGCTCAACACCCTTGATAAGCAGGGTTGAAGCCTGATAAGCAGGGCTAAGCTCAACACCAACTTTCTAGGCCCCCTTCTGTCCCTCTCAGACTGAAGCTTTCTCTCTCTCAATAAATTCTTTCCACGCTGAACCTCTATTGTTCCTAGAATTCACTCCTCGATTTTAGAGAACATGAACTTGGCATTTTGGATATCTAGTAGGTTGGGAATTTCATTCCCCTATATCATTATGAGTTAAACAGCTGTTAACAAACTAGCTAAGAGCTATGGTTTCTCCAAATCTGAGAAGAAAGAATGAATTTATGGAACATTTGAAATGTGAAATAAGGATTCTGCAATTGAGTAGATATGTGGGGAGGAAAAACCCCAGGGCTTAAAGCATTTTTGTTTCCTTTCTGTGTGTGTATGTGTGTTTTATTTATTGGTACAATTTAGGTTTATGTAATGACTACATTCATTACAGGGAATTTGTATCCGTACATGAGATATCTTGTTTCCTCTTTTTTTTACCATTCCCATCCCCTCTTTGCAAACCCCTTCTTCTCCCAATTCACCAAGTTTAGTTTTCATTTTATCCTTCTTTTCTCACTTGTTTCCTTCCTTCCTTCCTTCCCCTCTTCCCTCCCTAGTTCCCTTTTCCTTTTGAACAGTTTCCTCCTATTTTACAGTATCTATAGTACATTTATGTTCTTATTTACACTTTCAATTTCTCACACCAAAGAGAAAAATGAGATATTCACACATATGTGTCCAATTTATTTCACTTATTATGGTCTCAAGGTGTATTCATTTAGCTATAAATGTCTCCATTTTATCTTAAAGCATTTTTAAAATGAAAATAAGCTGTGGCTCCCATTTTTCACCCCTTCCTACTTAAACATTAACTTTTTTGTGCAACCTAAGAGTTATATCATTAACATTTTACAAAATGGACATGAAGGATATGACCAGTGATTTTACAAGGACAATACTGTAGCCACAGGATATTAGTCAAAACAGCAAAGATATGTGTACTATATAAGGAAAATATTTGCTAAGGAGTTGCCTTCTTGATTACAGTCAATAATTTCTACTGATAGCCTGGACACTGGATTGTACCAATCCAACACAAATCATAAAATATGATACTTTATAAAAATTACTCTAAGAGGCATCACTTCATCTAACCAACTTCTCTTGATGATGATTTTAATTCTATTTATCTTAGCTTCATTCTCCTCCTAGTGCTGAAAGTACTTACTTCCAAGTACATTCTCACCTTCATAACTTGGCCCCTGCTTTTCTTTTTACTGTGTATTTCCCTGGTTTCCCTGACATACAACATTCCTAGGCATGCTCAGGTGCACATTACAGGGCCAAAGATACCCTGACAAATGTGTACTGTCCCCTATCTCCCTTTACTCTGTAGTTGAAAGAAACTCTACATTTCTGCCAGCAGCTCTTGCGTGTGTTAGGAAGAGTCATTTACTCTGATTTCTACTAACATCCATCAATCCTCTATATGCCACTTAAAATTCAACCTATATCATATTTAATGGTGAAATACTGTCTCTGAGGTCAGGACCAAGACAACTCTATTTACTATCATCACTTTGATTCAGTGTTATATTGAAGATCCTAGTCAGTGTTGCTCTTCCTAGGGATATCATATTTCCTTGAAAATAAGACCTAACTGGAAAATAATCAGCCTTGAAAACTAAAGATGAAAAATGCCAGCTTCAATCAGCCTATCCTTGCCTGACCTGCTTTAGAAAGCAGCCACCGAGAAAGAGAACAGCGACGGTAAGTCAAGCAAGGATAGGCTCATCAGGGCTGGTGTTAGTGATCTCTGGTTTTCAAGGCTGAGTATTTTCAGCTATGTCTTATTTTGGGGGAAAGAGGGTAGAGCAGCAAACAGGTCAGACAAGGGCTCTGAGGTCAAGTAGCAGGCTGGATGATTTCAGGAGTTAATAACAAATTATAAACAGATGGGGTTGGTAAAAGATTAAGTAGTACTACTTTTTGTTTTGCTTTCCCTTGTTTTTTGTGTTTATTATTAGCACATCTGCAGTACATAATGTTTATCATGGGAAGTTGGTACATGTACATGACACATCTAATTCTTTTTACATCCTCTCCTCTTTATTCCCCTCTCCACTCCGCTCCCTCTATCTCTTGGTCCTCTGCCAGTTATAAAAGATACATCTCCCTGTTTCCTACTGTCTATCTTTTATTTTGCTCTTTAATTTACCTATACTTTGGGATTCTCACATAAGAGAAACCATGCAATACTTAAGCGCTGTGTCTGATTTATTTCACTTAACATTATGGTCTCAAGGTGCATCTGTTTTCCCACAAATGACTCAAGTTGGTCCTTCACAGCAGTAGTGCTACATTGTGTGTAAATACCACATTTACTTCGTCCATTCATCTGTTGCTAGACATATAAGCTGCTTCCAACGTATTATGAATAGCTACCCATGTTTATAGCTACCTACTAGAAACGCTGGTGTACATATGTCACTGTAATATGATGTCTTTACCTCTTTGGGGAAGATCCTAGAAGGGGAAATAGCTGAATCAAATGGAATCTCTAGTTTTAGTTTTGTGAAGTATCTCAATACTGACTTCCATAATAGATGTACTAGTTTACATTCTCACCAATAATGTAGACTGGTTCTTTTTTCCCCCACATCCTCAGCAGCACTTGTTGTTGTTGCTATGCTTTTCATTATTTATGACAGCCATTCTATCTGGAATAAGATGGGATCCTGGAGTTTTAGTTTGCACTTCTCCAATGTTCAGAGACATTTAACATTTCTTCATGCATTGCCTATCTGTACTTTTGAGAAGTGTCTATTCACTTCAGTTGTCCATTTTTCATTTTTTTTAATTTTGGGAGGGTCTAATTTTCTTGAGTTATTTATATATTCTAGATACTAGTCCTCTTTTTGAAGACTAGCTGGTAAAAAATTTTCCCATTCTGTAGGTTGTCTCTACACTGTATTGGTTGTTTCCCTTTTTTGTGCAGAAACTTTTTAATTTGACATGATCCCATTTGTTTATTCTTGATATTACTTCTGGTGTAACTGGGGTCCTGTTTAAAGAGTGCTTACCTACACCTATGACTCCAAGACCTCCGTTATTTTATCTTCCAGCAGGTGAGGTCAAGTGTTTCTGTTTAAATGTTTAGATCTCTGATCCATTTTGATTTTCATTTAGTACATAGTGACAGTTGTGGGTCTAGATTCAATCTTCTCTATGTTCTAGCCACTTATCCTACCACTACTTGCTTTTAAAAGATGCTATCTTTCCTCCAATGTATGTTTTTGGCCCCTGTGACAAAGATAAGATACCTGAATGTGCCCAGTGCCGAAGGTTTCTGTGTCCTCTATTCTGTTCTACAGATCCACAAGTCAGTTTTGTGCCAGTACTGTTTTGTTTTTGTGGTACTCAGGATAGAACCCAGGGGTGCTCTACCACTGAGCTATATCCCCTGCCCTATGTATTTTCTGAGACAGGGTCTTGCTAAATTGCCCAAGCTGGTCTTGAACTTTCAATTCTCTGGCCTCAGCCTCCCACATAGCTGGGGTTACAGAACGGTACGACTAAGCCTACTTAAGAAAGGACTATCACAGAGAATCTCTGAAAGGTAACAACAGATCAAAGGTCTGCATAGTGAGAATAATCAGCTATATAAGAACTACAATACTCTAGGCAGAAGTTTTTTTTTCTTTAAAGGTGTATAACAAAAGCTAAGCTTCTGCAAAAAAGAGGAAGTCAATGCAGAAGTCATGGACTTGGAGGTGTGTGGCAAGAGGTGAATTTGGAGAATTTAGGGAGTTGAAGATCAATGGTGAAGGGGCTGGGAAAAGCAAAAAGTAAGCAAGCAAATGGTGAAGCTCACCAGGAATTATGTAAAGACGAAAAACCAAAAGACAGATACCCTAGACACTAAAACAGAAAGTAATTTCACAAAGGAGGCACTGAATAACAAACGAATAATATTACAGTTGCTGCATTTGGTAAATACTATAAAGCAAAAGGCTTGAGAAAGAAAACACTGGGTAGGCTAAGGAGTGAATGAGAGTAAAGGGAGCATAAAAGGTGAAGGAAAGAGACATATGGAGTGAGTGAAGTGGTGGCTTTGTTCTTTTGAAAAAGGCGACTTTAGCACATTTATACATACAGAGAAAAGAGCCAAGGAAAAGAAAGAAGTGCAAATACAGAAGAGGTTAAGTAATAGAGCAAAGTTCTAGAAGAGTTGGAAGGGACTGAGTCTTAAGTCACAGCAGAAGACAAGAAGGTGGTCATCTGGTTGAAAAAAAGATCCATAGAGTAATGATAAAGCTTTGCTAAAAAGGAAGAAAAGAACTGTCTGGTCACTCCTAACCATAAAGCTGGACAAGGTTATAGGGCAAGTGAACAAGAAAAGTCACATTTGGCAGCAGCAGTAGTCACTAAGGCAACAGTTTGTTCCTTCAGTTTTCTTCATGGTGTTTTCCAGCCTGAGAGAGGACTGCAGAAGCAAACAACCAATTGTTTTCTTGAGCTCCTTATTTGCCCAAGGCCAGTTTGGGCAACTAAACAAGTTTTCAGATTTTAAGGAAGTTTGCTTTCCACTGTAATTATACACAGCACTGCCTACCATTCCAACTGACATTGATCTGTGCCTTACTCAGCACCTTACACAAAGCAGGAAGTCAAGAATTAGTAAAGTCACATAACATTTTAAAATATCACAGTAACTGTTCAAGAAAATGCTGCACTTCTCTACCCTGTCACACTGAACTCAACGGCATAAAAATTAAAGTTTACTGTTTCAGTCAGATGGTGTTAAAGCATAATGTAACAAATTAGGATAGACCCTTTAATTAACCACTTGCCTTAACAAAACATCATTAAAAATTATGTTGCCTTGCTTCATGACAATCTTAAATACAGTATCTGAACCCCAACATCTATTTTAAATGAAAATACAGATTTCCAGTTAGTTGCTTTAACTCAGAAACCTTACACATTTATATTCCACTTAAAGCAAAAGTTATTTACTTCCTACAGTTTTACTTCGAAGTTGCTTTAAATTATGGCTATTTCCAACAGACTCTATACACTTACAGAAATCTTACAGATTTCTCATTCTTTGGGATTACAGTATTAGGAGTTGGTCAGAGAATCTCATCAAGCAAGGAAGGTCTCCTGATCTAGTCCGATCACATTCCGTTCTGCACACGCACCTCGACACACAGCGAAATGGTCTGGGGGTGCATCACCAATAGCGCTCCCGCCTTGGGCAACAAGCGTGGGGGGGCCACACCTGCAGGCCAGTTTGTTCATCTCCAGGCAACTCCCGGAGTGAGGGGGCGCTTTGCTCTCGACATTAACGACAAATCTGGGGCTGGATCTTGCCCATCTGAACCTAGCACAAATCAACGCAAATCCTAAATATGGATAAAGTGTAAATGTGCCAAGTCCTTTCCCTTCAAGGAAAATATGGAGGAAGAGGGGTCGCGAGAAGCGCAGGCCAGCGCGCCATCACACCGCGGCGTCTCCGGCGTACACGTGCACGCACGCGCTCGGAGCCCGCCGGGCCGCGGCCTGGCAGGCCCGGGCGGAGGGGCTCTTCCCGGTAGGCGCGCGGACCCGGGAGGCCGAGCCCGCGACCCGAGCGCGCGGCGGACGGGAGCCAGGCCCCGCACTCACCCACAGGATGAGGCTGTCGCACAGCTGCCGCTCCGGGGACGCCAGCGACTCCTCCATGGCGGGACGCTCGCCGGAGCCTGCCCCTCGTGGCGGTTTCCCCGCGCCGCTGTCACCACCACCCGCCAGCCGGGAAAGCTCGCGGGCCAGGCCGGGCGTCCGCGCCGCTCACGCGCGAAGCCCCACGCCGCAGACTGCTCCGAGCAGCAACCCCCTCGGCTCCGCCTCACGCCCGCCCCGCCCCCCACGGCCGCACCTGGGCCCCGCCCTACCGCCCCACCCCTCGCCTGCACACCTCGCCGCCTCTCTGAGTGACCTGCGCATGCACCAGTCACAAAGCGGTAAGGTGGCCGGGAGGGGTGGGCGGAGGCAGGAAGAACAGGATAGGCAGAGCAGAGAGGGCTGCTGATTGGATGGCCCCTCGTGGGCTCCGACCAATGAGCAGGAGAGGAGCGTGAGACTCAGGGCGAAAGCTAGAGTGGGTAGGGAGAGGTTTATGACCTGGCAGGTGCAGTACTGGGAGGTCCGGTCTGTGCGCTGGGGAGCAAGCGCGCTTGCGTGGCAGAGACTAGTTTGGCCTAAGCCACCAGGAGGCACAGAAGGGCAGCAGGACCCGTCTGACCTTGGCGGCAGGTCCCCGGGCTACACCTGCGGGGTCCAGACTACTCCTACTGGTCTTCCCAAAGAGATCGTGCCCAGGAATTAAAACCCCTCAAGGAAAGACGACCTGATTTTTTCCTGGTCGCTCATTTGAAAAGGGGTGTTTTAATGTGCAGACGTGGCAAAAAAATGGATGACTTAGGAAAAAGAAAGCAGTTTTTAATGCTTCTTAAATCTAATATGCTCTCGTGGGATTACAGATCATGGCTATTTCATTTTAAATACGATAAAGGAAAGGCTACTTTCGGACAGCAAAATGAAAAACAAGGTATCTTAGTTTTCAAAGAACATGGAAGATATCACTGTACCCATTTTCTTTTCTTTTCTAAGAATATTAGTGGTGGGTAGTGGTTTAAAATTTGAAACTCTCCGAGGTACTGATAGTGGCTTGCGTTATTGGGAGGTGCTAGAATATTCCTAGCCTTGCTGTTGGGGTTCATCAGTTCACACATTCATAACTTCATCATGTCGTGCTCTATGTAAGAAGGCATCTGGCTCATTTAAATTTCGTTTATATATTTAGACATGGAAAGTTTAATACTTCTATGATAGATGGCTGCAATTAAAAGCCTCCAATGTAAATCAGTCTCATTCTAAAAATATCAAGCATGCATTTGCTATTGAATTCCTTAACGTTATTTCAGAATTTAACATGTTTGGAATCACTTTACTTTCTGGACACCAGGAACACTGATCATATGACTTGATGACAACTGCAGGATCTAAGTCTGGAAGACACGGTACAAATTGTGACTTTCCTCCCCACAGGCTTTGGCCTCAGCTTTTTCCTGTGAACCCCAACTTCCTAATTCTTAACATCGTTGTAATTAAAATGTAAACATACATTGTACAGGTAATGTAAATTGCAAATTGTAAACTTTGCTAGTATGAGTTACATATTCAAAAGCATCTGAGAACATCTTTTGCTGAACTCTACAGCTGGCTGAACTATTCAAATAAAATAATGAGAGTAACTGACAGGTTGAGTTATCCTTTTGTGTTCTACTCACACAGGATAATCCTAAAGGAAGGAAGGATGCCCAATTCTCTTTATGGTACTAGATCTGATGAAAAAATGTGTGAAGGAAAATCAGTTGATGCCAGAATGTTCTGGTTTGTATCCGGACATCTTCTCAGAGCCTCATGGACTCAGAAACAAATATCTCAAATAAATATGAAAAAGAAAAAATATGAATCACTGAAATAGAACAATAAAAGATAATGAGAAAAGTGAGGTATACTTTCATATACAAGTGGAACAAGCATTTTAGAAAAAAAATGACAATATTTATCAAGAAACTTTAAACTATCTACATCTTTTAAACCCATCAGTCCTCTCCTGTTCATAAATTATACTGAAATCATCAGAAATATAGTCAAAGGCTTTGAACAATGACCTGCATTACAAGCCTATAGATATGGATCAGTTCATCTCCAATAAGAAAGGTTAAATAACCTTATAGCAGATTAACATCTAATGAAATAATGCTTTAAAGATTGTTTGAAACTAGGAAAATTGTCATACTATATTAAATAAAATTTAGATGTAAAGTAGTACACATGTTTGTGAGTTTAATATTATAAAAATTATTTATATATTTTAACATGTTCACAGCAAGAAGACAAAAGATATTCATTAAACCATTTTTGTGTTTATATATAGATGTGATTATATTCTTTAATCTTTTATATTTTTATTCTCTCTGCAATTATTTTGTATTACATTATAATCAGAGAGAAGACATTAGAAGAAATGGCAAATGCAGTATAAGCATCATTTCTAACTATTAAATTGGCATTTGGTTTTTAAAATTGACACTCACATATAAGGAGTTGAATGAAATTAGCTTTGAAACACTGTCAGATCACAAATTAACACAATCTCTGAAAGGTTTTGGAGAATATATATCAAAGGCTTTTAAAATGTTCAAAGTAACCATTAGGCTGGTAACCTTTACGCTAGTAATTTTGCTTTCAGAATCTATTCTAAGAAAATAATCAGATGCCAAAGAAGTTGATTACAGTGCTATTTATCAAGGCCAAAAATGGAAAAATAAATGGCTACAAAATATCCGTAAGAGGAGTGATTAAACACTTTATAGTCTATTACATAATTAAATATAACCATTAGTATATTTTGGAAGAAGCTTAATTAGGAAAGTGCTTTCAAAATAATGTTAAGAGAAAAAAATGATGGTACAAATTTGTGCATATGGTGTGGATCCCAATGCACACATAGTTATATACATACTTTTCTGTATAAATATACATTTACATTGGATTCCTATTTGTGTAAGCATGGGGTATGTATACTGTAAATATACATATACATAGGTAAAATATACATAGAGAAACAAAAAGGGGGACTAAAGAAAACATTAAAATATTAATAGTGATGATTATGTTGACTGGAGTAATAGATAAGTTTCACCTTCTTTGTACTTTACAGTGATTTTGTGATTTTCCATAGCAATTTTCTTTTTATAAAAAAGAGCTAAAGGCTAAGAATGATTAATATTAAATAAATATTAACATATATACATGTATGAATACACACACACCTATGTAACCATAGAGAGATTAAGAAAAGAGTTGGTTAAAATTAGTTGGGTGTAGTGGTGCACATTTGTAACCCTGGCATTTGAGAGACTGAAGCAGGAGAAAAATGAGCTCAAGGCCAACCTGGGCTACAAAGTGAGACTCTGTCTCAGACAAAAATTATAGATAAACCCTCAGTTTGGATCTCTATATACTAGCATAATAGTTATATTTCTGTATTGATGAGGAAATTTTGGTGGTGAGAAGAAAGCAAACTAACAATTTTTAAACATGTTGTTGGAAGGGTATGGAAACTTTGGACTCAATGGAAGAGCAGAAGAAGTCAGCACAGGAGAGGGCAGGTCCCAGAACAGTTCACCAGATCTAGGTAACAAAAACCACTGGGAGTCTTCAGGACACCACTTGGATGAGAATCACAAAGTTGTTGCTGGATCTTTCTGAGTCATTCTACTTAAAATCCACATTTCACAGGAGGCACCTGATTTGCTGTTTGGAGATATGAGTCTAACACTTTGCTAGCAGAGAGCAGAACACTCAGACTGGCTGTCTCACCAAGACTGCAGGCTCACGGGCCAGCTCCCAGCAGAAGGAGACTACAGACAAAAACAAAAACAGCTGTCTCCACATGGCCTTGAAGGGATGTTATGAGGATAAATACATGTGCAATGCTTAGCACACATGCTATATCATAACATTTGCTCAATACACTTTAAACCTGACATACACGTATGTGAGTCTGCATCCTCTGTGTTCTGAGATATGGGTATCTGTGTATGTGTTTGGACTCACCAAGAAAAGATAATAAAATATATTAAAACGTTAGTAAAATTGTTTACTATTTTCTAATTTAACCACAATGGACAAAGATGGCCTTTTTGGTTCCAAGGGAATGAAACTGTTTTTAAAAAGAGAGAGAGACATGATTTTGATGGGATTTTGGGCTCTGAATTTGTCTGCAAAGAGAAAACTAGTAAGAGATGAAAAATCTCTTGGCACAGCCCTTAAAAAGAACTGTAGAAGAACTGTAAAGAACAAAATCTGTCCCTTAGACACACAGGTGATGGAATGAAGAAATATATAAATTCTAAGCCTTTCTCTGCTGATTTCTGTATACCTAGATGGCTGAGAGTTGACACTGGTTGGAGAAGTCTGGCTTGCATAGGTGTGGAACTCAGCATGACCATACATGCAACAAACAGTCCTGCAAGGCATTCACTTCTGAAGTGAAGTACTGTGTCCACACTCAGAGGATCCTGACCACACTTCTTAGGCATAGCTATCCTTTCTAGTCCTCAAACAGATGTGCTCCAAATGTTGAAAAAAAAAAGAAAGGGTTGAAAGAAGAGGAGGAGGCAGAGAGAAAGGAAAGAACTGCAGCCCAGACTCCATCCATCTCAGTAGTGGAAAGATAGAGGAAGCCAGAATGGTATATTAATCCAACTCTGGGGTTAACTTCATTTTCTGAATAACCCCCAAAGTGCTCCACAATCCATGATATTCAAAGGACTGTAGCAAACTTGAACTACATCTGGTCAGCGGTCAAGTGCACCAGCAGAATTTGTAGACTGACAGTTTTCAGACTCTCTTGGATACTTTAGAATAATAGTTTACAGATTTTAGGTAATTTACAAGTCCTAGGAAGAGTCTTAGGGAAAAGAGATGGTCATGAAAATTGCCACTTTATTTGTGTGCATATTTATTTATAACTTATTAATTTTTGAGGCTTTTTTAGTTTTAATGTTTTATTAGTATATATTTGCAGCATATAATGATTACATTCATCTTCTGGTTCTTAGATCTGTAATCACAGAGACACAAGTGCCTAAATTTTGCCTAAGCTCCATCAAATACTGTTTTACAAGTGGGAAAGAAAAATCAGTTCCAGACATAAGTAACAATACCAGATAATTCTTCAATTTATGTTTTACACTTGCATAAAGGAATGTTTAACTTGCCATCATTGAGTGAAAATAAATATAGCCATTTCATTTATTAAACTTATTTAAACTCATGCTAAAGCTCTAAATATAATTGTATGCTTGTTTTACCTTGCTCTAAATAACTCAAATTAGAAAAATATTCAAATAGCAACATATAAGTAGCATTTTCAAATACTTAAAAACAACAGGTAAAGTTGGGCATTTGGTTTTTAAAAATTATATTGATAATGTAAAGTATCAATTAAACATTTAAATCTTGTAGTTTATATCTCAGTTTAAGAAAATCACAAAATGTGTCACCATTTTACATCATATTAAAAGACATAAGCCATGCTTTTGCATTCAGTTGGTGACCTATTTTTTTCTATGTACAAAAATACTTCTAATCCATGTAAGCAGATTTTAATATAAAGACCAAACAGTGTCACACAGTGGATAATCATTTAATCCACAGATGTTTGTCTATAAAAAAGCAAGAATAAGCTGGCTTTATAGTATAAATGCTCAGGCTATCTCCTATTGCTTACTAGATTGTTGAAAATTAATATTTTAAAAAGAAAAAATATATCTATACTGAATAAAGTCACATTTACAAGATATGTGTAATATGTCTAAAAATAAAAAAAAGTCTAATAAGTGCATAAATTCTGGCTAGGTGTGTTAGCACACATCTGAAATCCCAGCACTCAAGAGGTTGAGGCAGGAGGATTGCTGAGGGCTTGAGGCCAGTCTGGGCTACATAGTGAGTTCAAGGGCAGTCTGATCCCTGTAGTGAGATCCTGTCTCAAAACAAGCATGATTTCTACAGAAGACTGGGATTATGTTAGAAATTCTACTTACATTTCATTATACCTTGAGAAGATTTACAACTACTGTTACTAAATGTGATACTCTGAAGCCTCCACATGTATATGAAAAATGCATTAAAGTGGCATTTTTCAAAAAAAGATGTATGTTCTTTGCTCTCCATGTGTTAGATAAATATAGCTTATGTGGAATATAATATATATAAAAATGCCAAAGTTATAGAAGCAAGGAATCTATCAGGTCATTAAGAACAGGAGAAGGGGGACAACTTTGTCACAAGCAATAACAAAGAAGCAGAGGTGGAAATGCCAGGAAGGATGTGTGAAGTGTTAACTGATGGAAACAGTTGCAGAGAACACTTGGAAACCCAGTTATGGCTAATGAAAGTTTAAAAATATTTTTCCAAATAAACAAATGATTCTCAGTATGACTTGGAAGTATTCTCCAGACATCCTAAAGGCAAAATAAAGTAAACAAGAAATAATGATAGATATAATTGAGCAGGGCCTACCCTGGTACAAAGAAGCAGCAAATTTTACTAAATTAGTGGGCTCAGCATTGTAAAATTATTCTGTACGATAATAAGTTAATATTATTACTTAGTTATTGCAGACTGATCAGGCCCACGATCTCCTAAATGAGTGGACGGTGAAGGCTTAAATAAAAGAGACAAGTGGTATGATTTTAAGGCTCCAGGAGGTTCAAACTCCTCTAACAGAATTTGACATTCTCTGGGGGCTAATTCAAAGAACTACTCTCAGCAGCCCATATTTATTTGGATTTCAAACAAAGGAGGGGGATACTGAAGAAAACACGGAAATCTGGAAGCAGATCTTGGGAGATAGTTCAAAGACTTCCCCAGGTAGAAAAGTATGCTAATTAGAAGACTAGCTTATCTCCAGGTTGACATTCATTGTAGGAGTGTGGAGCCTGCAGCTGCAGTCTCTTTTTAGTTAACTGGGGTTGGACCAGGCATCCTCAGTTGTGGCTTTGGACAGACTCACAAGTAAACATGGAAAGCCAATTGGTTAATTTAAATCCTGCTCAGAGGCATGTCATAGTGGTCTCCATCAGTATGAACACAATAGGTGACTATAAAGATGCCTAGTCTTGAAGATATAAACAACAGTAGTGTTAGCTAAAATTTATTAAGTACTTAAAAGATGCTATGCTGTATCTGAAGTCTTCATTGATGCTAATTCATTTATCCTCAGCACCCTGGTGAGGTAGGTGATATTTTCCATCTTTCTTTTATGGATGAGGAGAGTAAGGCATAGAGAAGCACCCAAGCTCAGACTACTGAGTTTCAAATTTGAGAAAACCTTCTGGATAGGAAAAGTAGAATGTTCCTGAAGGAGACCAGAGCTGATCATTAAAGACAATCTTGGGGAAAAAAATGCAGCATGTGTGCTACTTTTTCAGTTAACACTTTCTATATTTTTCTTTGTTGCTGAAATGTTTCTTCAGGCAATAAACATTCTTTTGTTCAATACTGTGCAGAAAGCAAGCACATCATGCCTAAGTGAGTGAAATTATTGCCTGCTAATGACACTGATGGCTCAGGGGCCTTGGATATATTAAGCTTTTAGCAATATTTTATCTGAAGATGAGCTTGAACTATTATTTTTACCCAATTTTTCTTATAAACTTCAAAGGATTTTTCTGAAAAATAATTAAATTGGCCATTTGGATTAAATATCTGGCCTACTTATATACCTGCATTTTTAAGCACATGCATTTTTAAATTTTAGATATAATTACCACATGCTTGATGGATGGATGGATAGATATGTGTCACTCAAGAATAAGAGAAATAATAATTCTTTACCTTTAAAATTTCAGCACATATGTAAGAATAAAGATTGTTCAAATAATCACATATAATCATTGCATTTGGGAAATCTAATGCATTATCAGTCCTTATTTAAGTTTACCTGATTGTCCTCAGTTCATTCCTTTCCTTACTCCCCTTGATGATAAATCAAGAAATCAAGAATCATGCATATTTATTGTTGTATTGCTTTAGTCTCCTGTAACCTGTCAGTTTCTCAGCCTCTGTGTGTACATATGTGTGCACATGTATGTTTGTGGTATTGCATGACATGACAGCAACATTTTTGAAGAATCTAATCCAGTAGACTTGTTGGATTGTTTCTTCATGATCCTACTAAGTTTAATCATTTGGAGAAGCGATTCTATCGTGAGCATATTGGAGGAACATGGGATTGGACTGTTTATTTATTGGAAATAATAAATTTTATAATGTGGTTAGATTATTTCCACCAGATTTCTCCATTATAAAGGTGTTTTTCCTATTGCAAATAATGATAAATCTAAAGCATTGTAGTTCTCTTGTTTCCCGTATGTTTTTACCTACTGCTTTCAACATCCATTGATAATCATTGCTAGAATAATGCTGTACAATTGTGGCTGTGAGAGATTGGCTTCTGTTTCCACTATCCTTTCTACATGTATTAGCTGGGTTAATGCTGTAAAAAAAGAATTTTTCCTGTTTTTCCACATCGACCTTTAAATATTTTAAAATGTGTATATGGGCTTGTATAGAAGTTATAAATGTTGATGTCTGGGGAGAGGACACTAAGTGGTTGTGAGGTTCCAATGCACTAGGAGGCTGGAGAGAACATCCCTCTGTTTTCTTAGACAAGAGGCATTGATAATACGTACTACCCTGGATCCCAGTTCAGTAGAGGGACAAACTATTCTTAAAGATAATTTTATTACTCAGTCAGCCCCAGGTAGTAGAAAAAAGCTACAAAAAATGGCTTTTGCCCCAGATAGCTCACTTGAGATGTTAGTAAGAATTGCCTCCTCAGTATTGACGAGGAGGAGGCCAAAGAGAGAAAACAAAGAGACCGAGAAAAAACAGCTGCCTTTGTTGCAGTACTAAGAGAAACAGACCCTAAGTCTGATTGTCAGGGCCCAAAGAAGAACTCATTGACTACACTCATCTGCTACCGCTGTTAAAAGCCAGGCCACCTCAAGAGGGACTGCCCTAAGAAGCCCCCTGGGCC